CACATAATCAAAACAGGAAGCTAATCAGAACACAACACACTAAGGTAAAAACTCTGGCCAAGAAATTGTGATAAGCTTGCTTCTTTCCCTATATCAAAGAAATCCCATCGGCAGAAGTACAGAGAATATGCTATGGGCATGGATTATAATAAAAGCCTACTGCTTCCATATTGACTGCATAGTGTAAGTCTTGGATACGAAACTTTCAGGAACTCAAGCTCAGATTTTTGGTGGAATATAAGCCCGACTGTATATTTATACTACAATGAAGTTAGCTCATTCCGGGGATGGTGAGTTTCAGCCGGAAATCCTCCATAAGTGGGAAGGCCATCGCGCAGCTTGATCTTTGGTTCCATTCCAGCACTCTTCTGATTTTGTGATGTTGGGCATTCTGAGGCGAGGTTCATCTGGGGTTTTTTCTACCATTTTGATCTCCACATTAGGATTGATAAGCTGCAAAAAAATGATCAAGTATTTGAGCCACATAGTTAACATTTTCAAGTTTGTTTTATAAGAAAGAAAGAAAATGATAACATTTTGGTTGTAAAGAGATTATAACACTGACCTCCTTAACAGTCTCCCCAACTTGGAGCCAGGTGAAAGTGAAATACAAAGTTAATATGGGAACTGAAGAGTTCTAGACCTAATTCGAAAATTTCTTCTTATAGCAGAACCTGGATTCCCAATGGTGATCGGCCCAGTCCCAGTGTGAGTCGAATAAGGTCATTCACCTTCAACGTTTGAAATAAGGTTTGTGGCAATATAACACAAATAGAGAAGTCAATATGAAATGGAGAACAAATATAAAAAAACTCCGAGAGAGAACGATTTCTACAGACTCAAAATTGCTATGCCGATTTATTGCGTGTGCAGACAATGAGTAAAAGAATAGCAAGAGATAAATATTGCTTGTAGACATCTATATGATATTCACAAAACACTAGTGAGTTTTAACAGAAATTACCGGACTGCTTGAGTGCCATCATCAATATTCATCCTACCCATCCCAATCTGTGTATCATTAATTTAAAAGTTAATGACATTATCTCCTGAGGTATAACAAATTTCCTTCGAAATAACAAAAATTATTCTGCCGTTAATGATTATTAGTGTGCTTTTAAAATTTATACTATTATGAGTTAATGTATATTACCAAATTACCCTCAACACATATTTTAGTGCTTATAACTTAACGGCAAGGAATTTTTTGTTATTTTGGAAACCTCATTAAAACTTTATTATTATATCATACCCGAGGGGATAAAGCGATGAACTCTTAATTTGATGGAAAATCATAAATTTTAAAAACAGAGTTTCCGCAACTCATTTTTCCTATATTTAACCTTTTCATTATCTAAATTATTGCATCACTTCTCTCTATAGTACAATACTAACAATTTTTTCTTGTGTTGTTGTTTAATTACTGGGCAGTACTACACTTACAACTTAATCTCACAAATCTTCTCTTACAATCCTAAAATGACAATTCGTAATAGGTCTTGCCTATTCAATTGCGGGTCATATCTGTCTAATTACAAACTAATCACTTGGGGACTGCCAAATCGGGGTTGTGAGAGAAAGTTTGTAAAATTGAGTTATGAGCTAATCTTTATTGTTAATTACAAGGTAGTCCAAGCTTAATTGTCAAAACAAATCCAAACATTTTCCTTTTGTTTAATAAGAATATCGCAAGTGCTGTGTACTATTTATTGTTAGATTAGATGATATAGAATTAGGAGTGAGCCCAAAGCAGCAAAATGAAAAATTTGGGCAATGAAGTCTGCCTAAGCCCATGTACACTGTTAGACTAGATGACACAAAATGAGCTGAGTCCAAAGCAGCAAATTAAGAGAGAACGACCTTTTCCCACCCGAGTTTTGGCAAAACAATCCTTTTCCACCCGTCAAGTTTCAAAATGATAATTTTCCACCATTCGTCAGGTTCTATTAATATTTTCTGTTAATATTTGATTGAAAAAATGAAAATACCCTCAAATAGTTTATTGTAAATTAAAATTTAGTTAAGTCAAAATTTTTACTCGATTATTTATTCGTTCAAATATAAACATATCTTTTTTTCTTTGTTTATCTAATTAATTAGGAATATTGATTTTCTACGTTAACTAGTAAAAATGAAAAATATTATAAATTTAATAGATTATTAAATAATAGTGATGGGATATTGATGATATTATAAATAAATAAATAAATATTAAGGTCATTTAACTTTAAACAATTCCATAGCAGTACTCCTAACTTTTTAGGTAAGGTTAACTATTTTTTCCTTTTTGATTTTTAATATTTGACTTTTTGGTTAATTAAAAAATAATAAAAAATTTATAAAGTCAAATATTTAAGGGTATTTTTATCTTTTCAATAAAATATTAACAGAAAACATAATAGAACCTAACGAAAGGTGGGAAAGTGCGATTTCACCAAACCTTGGGTGGGAAAATGTCGTTCTCCCACAAATTAAATAAATGTTTGGGGAAGTGTTTTAGCCCCCACCTATTTGATGAGTATCCCCCATTTCTAAATACACTCATTTTATATTTAAAAACTTTTCTTTAAAACCCAAAATACCCTTCAAATCTTAATTAGATTTTTTGTTTACACCTTCCTCCAATTTCAATATTAGAATCAAAATATCAGTTTGAACTTATGCAAAATCTAAAAAATGGAAGTATATTTTCATTAAACATACAATTCCAATGATTATGATAATTTAGATTTAGGATTTATGCAAGAAATAAAGGTTTAAGATTATAAAATAAAGTGTGGGTGTATTTATAATTTATAATGTCCATTTCTATGATTGTCTTTAAGGTTAAACTTATCAAAACAACAAACTTTTAAAAGTGGCGCGAAAAGCCTAAAACTCACTTCCCTAAAATGTTTAGGAGTGAGCCAAAGCAACAAGTTAAATAAATAGGGAAATGATTTTTAGCCTCTATCAAATTTATCATCATCCCCAACTTTTAATTTATTATTATTATTATTTTTTGACAATTTTAACCAGAATGAAAATTATTAAAATGATATAATAATTTCTAAAAACACTCATACTATATTATATATTTGTCTTTTAATTTTACTTTAATTATTAATCATAAACTCTAACTCTAAATCTTCTAAATCATTGAAAAAAAAAAATTATTTCAAATATTTTTTTGCTTGATGAAAATATATTATTGAAGCTATTGAAAAATTAATTACATAATGGAATGAATTTGAATATTAAAAAATAATAATAATAAATTTCAAATTTGAAATTGGGAAAAAGGGGCATAAACAAAAAAACCTCATTAAAAAATTGGGAAAGTCATAATTAAGCTTGAAATTGAGGAAAAGTGGTGTAAGCAAAAACCCTAATTAAGTTGAAATTGAGGAAAAAATGTGCAAACAAAATCTTTAAGTAAGCAGGGTTATTTTAAGTATTAAGTGAGGTTTAAAGAAATTTTTTTAAACGTGATATAGGTGTACATAGTAATGGAGGCAACTGATCAATTTGATGGAGGCTACAATCACTTCTCAATAAATTATATGGGCAACGAAGTGGGCTTAATGCCTAAGCCCTTATACATTTTGCTTGCTCCCCTGCTATGGATGCATTTTCATTGTCATTTTGTTATGATGAATGTTTTAACTATGTGCATAAGATAGGGGTGTGTGGATCTGGATATCCAAACCAAACACTTGGAATCAGAACCAGAATCGGTCAGTTTTTGGGATTCGGAACCGAAATAGGAACTGGTCGATTCCGATTTCGATTATGGATACCCAACCATGTTTAAGCAAATTAAAAAAACACCCTTACTATTCACAAATCATAATTGAATTTTTTCACCAAAGTTTTTCTCTCAAAACTCTCTCAAACCAGCTCTTTATCAATGCCACCATCGGCCATTTCACTCGATTTCCGATCAGGAAACATCACCCTCACCTCGATTACACACTTTCTCAACTTGTTTGCCCCATTTTTGGCTGGGTTTGCACCTCTCCCATGATCCAACTCCACCTTCGTGATTATCATTCTCAAGCCGATTCGGTCTGATTTTGGCATCGTTGGACCACCCAGATATCACCATCAGCATCCCCTTCTCTTCCTCACCAAAATCCCTTGCTTCTCCACCCGAGTACACCAACCAATCGTCGGCCACTGTCCCTACTGGGTTTGCGTGATTGTTTGGTTTTTTGTCTAGATGCCGGTCAATTTCGGTGACGACAATCACCCATGTCACCATCATCAGCATCCCATTATCTCCTCTACAAAACCCTTCCCACCATCAGCATCCCCAGCTCGTCGATCATCGTCTGTCACCTACACCTCTTGTCGCGCGGCTGTCATGTTTTTTGTGTACTTTGTTTCCACCACATACCGTCGGTTTTCTGATCTCAGTTGCTTCTTGTTGTGATTTTTGCTAGTGTTGGTTGTATTCTAGTCGTCGACCGATCCCCTTGCTCCCACAACATGCTGCCTTAACGAACTGAGCTGAAATACCATTTTTTAATGATATTTCAGTTCCGTCCTAGTTCTCAAACCGGTTCCACCCTTGTATCTCGACCTCGGTTCCAGTTCTGGTTCCAATTCCTGAAGTAGTAGAACTGGATCCGAAACTAAACCTTATCATGTGTTTTTCTATTAGACACACTATCCATATATTTTAATCAGTTAAATTTTATTGAGATTTGGTATTTTCAACAAGTGTTATAAATCTTCCAGATACATTGGTTTAATATATTGAAGACAGAAGGTATATGATGATAACCCACTTTAATATCCACATTTAAACATATATTAAAGATCGGAATTAGGATCCTTTCCATACTTGAGCTCTCTTGATCATTTTAAGCATTTGTTGTTTCAATTTATTTTATGTTTTTATCTTTTTCAATAACCACCAAGCACAGTATTGTTCAGGTAAACGCCGAGTAAGGGGATAATATTTCATCCTTACTAAGACTGTAAGACCAACCCATGTGGCAAATTTGACAGCCCTCAAAAATAGAAGTTATCCCCTTTTCATTTGAGTTGTTAATATAAACGGTTTAACTAATCAAATCAACCTCGCTCAAAAAAAGAGTAATGTCAAGAGTAAAAAAATTCATTTGTCGTTAATGTAATATATCTACCCTGCAACCACTGCTTCAAGAAGCATTCACTGAATGCAGCGGTAGGTTTCAAGAGAATCAGCAAATCCATCACTGTAAGTAAGCTTCACCAACTGCCCCTTCTCTAGACCATAGTATCGAGCAATAGCATCATTTTCGAGCATTCGAGGGAGCTGGAAAGAATATGAAAACAAATATTGCTCTTAATCAAATCCTAAAAAGATAACAAAGAAAATAGAAGTCCTTTTGTCTGAAAGACCTATTTCTATTATTATTGTAACATTATTTTAAATATCCAAATTCATAACTCAGAACAATAAAGCTTTATAATGAATGGCAACCACATGCTTGAAATTAAGTAATGCCTGAAGGAGATGAGTCAATCAAGAGGTACAGAAAAGTTCCAAATGCAGGAAAATTATGACATACAAATTACTTTTTATTTGAACATCCAAACATCCAAATAAACTCAACCTGGCTAATTCTTATTAGAGACATCGGAAGCGTAGCTTTTGACACTGCTTGAACTAATATGGTTGAGCCCAATGCCAATCTTCAAGCTTGTCTACTCAAAATTCAACCTGGCTAATTATATTCATGACCGGCTATCAAAGTGCAAGTAGCAAACCTGATTAAGCCTAATAATCTGATCCCACAACTTCTTTTGCATACCCATACTCATTAGTTCTGTATCCATAATTCGAGATCTAAACACCACTTATGCCTAGTTCACAATGTTCTCAGACTAAATATCCCTCAAAATATGATTATACATGAAGAAATATGGACGGACGATCAAGGGAGCATTTATTAATATTAGGTCTATACATATAAAATCATCTTACATTGGAAGATATTTCAAAGGCTATAAGAAAATTAATTCCATTACAAACTCCACTTTTGAACAAAAGGCCAGCAAAACAGGACTATCATGAAGAATGCATCAGCAACATCTAAACAGAACTCTTTAATCACTTATAGCCTACTATAAATTAGGGCTTCTATATATCCACCAAATGCAGTAACTACAGTCCACAGTCTACAGTCAATTATTTTTCTACACAGCTTTCTAATTACTAAAGTTCATCATCGCAAAATTGGGTCTTTTAATGTCCACAACCTTGGATTGATGGTAGGAAATTTCAGAACATTCTTACTCCCAGACAATATAAGACTGTTATGCATCAATTTAAGTAATCATTTCCATTTTCTTCAGTGATTCTATTCCAGAACCCTTTTTGTGATCACATGTGTAAGTAAAGCCACAAAAGTCATGAACATCAAAGCATTTCCTCTTTCATTATATTCACTACTATTCAACTAAAATGTGATTACCTGTTCATCTTCCAACATATACTTCTTCAACAATATGTGTTTCTCTGCAGCAGTCAGTATCTCATGCTTTGGTTGCAAGATATGCTTTGTTATGTTAACCAACAAGTCGGTGATCTAAAGAAAAAAATCACAAACTTTATTAGATAAAAGGCTAAGTCGTGAAGTCTAAACATATTAAAATGATTAAAAAATGAGTTTAGCATTATATATCTATCAATTACAGGAGTGCTTTGGATGGTTGGATTACATCTACCATTGGTCATTTCTGAAGTACATTAATTATGCATGCTAGATATGATCTATACCATCAAAAAACTTAGATCGAACAATTGATGTCAGAATTTGTAAAAAATATGGGTCCATGGATATAACAAAACATACAAAACTAGCTGTGAAGAGATATAAAAAAACATGTAAAACTTTCTATCAACAAATTAAGTAATACCCACCCCATTCAGAATTTCATTTTTCAATTTCATAAAATCAAGGGCAATAAATTATATATTGAATGCATATCTAAGGGCCAAAGGCTGTTGCTGCTGCATCAAGGACAACATATAACCTTCTGAAGCATATTGTACATGTATAACTTCATTACCAAACAAAAGAAGTAAACAGTAATATGCATCCACCACACCTTACAACGAAACACCGAACTAAATAATGAAGCAAAAAAGCCCTATTGCACATATAACTTTCCGCTACATGGGTTTACTTAATACTACGTGACAAGAAGTTCAAGAACCTAGATGAGGATGCTCAAATCACTGGCTTAAAAAAGAACCTAGATTGAGTGAAGTGTCTACACTAGAAACTATACCTTCATGAAAAACTAACATGATATCCATTTGGTGGACAAATTTCATGGCCAAGAAAAAGAAAAGATGGCAGTTTCATTGATGTATGCAAGAAGGGTCTCCGAGGTCTTCTACTTCAAAGTCCAACTAAGACATATTTTATGGGAGTATAAATAACAATTGATAAATTATATATCAATTTAGTCAAGTTTTGCTCATCAATTCTAAATCCCAGAGAGGAGTATCATAAATTTAATCTTTCACTACTATAATATAGTGCAACCAAACAGTATTCACAAGATGCCCCAGTGCAGTAACTTGAGGCTGTCATGCAAAATGAAGTTCTTTCGGGAAGGCATGATCATCATCAGTACTAAATTCAAGAGTAAATTGATCAACAAACACATACTCTTTAGACCGATGCAGAAACTAGAATGGAAGTTTAAAACGGTGACTACTTGGAAAATCTCAACTTTAAATGGAAATTTTTGACTTCATTTTAGCAATAGGGGTCATTTGCTTTGCAAGATTAGCATCAGCCCCTGTATATTTTCTCTATTTAGAATCGACCAAAATATGTCGAACAGTTTGTGTTTTGACTTCGTCAGTTCCCAAGAACAAAACCAGCATCTGCATAATATTTTTGAAAATATGTCAGGAGCTTTAAACATTATATATTACTTGGACATGCCAAACAGCCAACACAATTTTTTTTCATATTAAGTATTTAACAAATTCAAACAACAATAAGAACGGTGGAAGGGCAAAAAAATATTTTGTTCCTGCGGAGAAACTAAAATTATTAATGAACTCGTGTTTATCTAAAAACATAAAGAGGTAAAATAGTATTTGCTAATAAAAAGGCACCTTTTTGGAGGGTTTGGAACGGAGAGGAAAGTCAAAACGTAGTCGTTCTAGGAGGTTTGTCTCAAAAATCGAACGGAACTCAGCCAGTGAGCGACTGAGTTGAGAGGAGGGAATGTCATAGCCTCGGTCATTAAGCATCTCTAAAACGGTGCGTAGAGACAAGTAGTACCGAAACTTTCTAAGGCGCGGTGTCGACCTTCCCCCATGCAGTAACCATATCCTTTTGTGTTAGGGGCGGCATTTTACTCGCTACTTGACGAGGGAACCTCGAGAGAAGAGAAGGTGGTGGTTGCGCTGTGGGTGTAGAGGTTTATGAGTCTTCTGACTTCTTGGTTAAATTAACCGAAAAAAAAAAGCCAAAAGCTTTTTTCACCCTTTCTCTCAAAGAGGCCTGGACGGGTTCGAGCTTTGGCTGTTTACTGACTTTTTCGGGCCTATCCTCTCCTTGAGTCGAGGTCGTTAAAAATATATGGTTAGAAATTCTTCCAATTAATCCTTTTTTTTCTTGAATTAAAAAAAAAAAAATCTTTTATTTCTAAGGGCACTTTGATATCAATAATGATTTGCTAACAACTGAATCATAAAGTAGATAAAAGTTGTACAAAATTTATGTAAAATAACTACTTGTTATGTTTTTTGTGATTGTACTATTCGATTGTATGACTCAATTGTAAACATAACATTGATCCTTAATATTAGAACAGCACTAATTTATAACATTTCATAAATCTAATGTGACAACTCGTAATTGATCAATTTGCAATAGGTCTTGTCTGCCAAATATAAACTAACAAATCATGAGCTGCCATTTATGATTGTATGAAAAAGTTGTATGAAAAGGTTATAAGTTAGTTTTATGTTAATATTATTGTTTCCTCAATATATATTAGTGATAAAATTTAATTATCATATTCTTACTTTTATATAAAATATGTTACTTAAGATTATTTTCTAATTAAATGTAAATCAAATTTGTTTTAAACTCTTTTATTGTAGAATTGTGAATTTTCATTCTCTTCTATGAAGAATAATAAAAGAAAACAATTACAGTCTCTTATTTTTTAATTTTTTTCTTTCACAATATATTTTTCAACAAAGCTACGGACATCGGCACTTTACACCGAAAATGTGTACTGGTATGTGTACTCTTGACTCACACCTGACTCACACCAACTGTTGCAGCAATTCAGACGCGTCATTAAACAATAAATATTTTTCTAGTGAACGGTCATCTATCAAATATGGACGGCCGTTCACTTACATGGACTCCCATTCTATTATATGGACGGGAGTCCATTAGCTATGGACGGGCGTCCCCATTTAAAGGACGCCGTCCATAAGTAAAATGGATAATTTTTTTTTATAAAATTTGGAACGACCGTTCATAGGTATGGACGGCTGTCCAAATATTGGACGGGCATTCATATTTTAAGGACGTCCGTCCATAACAGTTCTTTTTAAAAAAATTTACGGATGACCGTTCATCTGTATGGACAGCCGTCCATTCATTTTGGACGGGTGCCCGCAAATAAGGGACGCCTGTCCTTAACCAAAATATGAAAATTTAAAAAAAAAAAATTTGGGGACGCTCGTCCACGAATTGTGGAGACCGTCTCTTATTTTGTACGGGCGTCCGCAAGAAAGGATGCCCGTCCATTATTTTGGTTTTTAAAAACTAAAGAAAAAATTTGGAAGGAAGGCGCTCGTCCATTACTTACGCTTTTTAAAAAAAAGAAAAAATTTGGATGGCCGCCCGCCAATAAGGGACACCGTCCTTAACCAAAACATGAAAATAAAAAAAAAAAATAAAAAAAACTTGGGACGCCCATCCACGAATTGTGGACGGCCGTCCCTTACTTTTGGACAGGCGTCCGTAAGAAATGGACGCCCGTCCATTATTTGGTTTTTAAAAACTAAAGAAAAAATTTGGATGGGTCGTCCACAATTGGCGTCCATAGGAATGGACGCCTGTCCATTACTTATGTTTTTAAAATAAAAGAAAAAATTTGGACAGCGTCCATAACCTGTGGACGGGTCCCTAAGTGTGGACGGGCGTCCGTAAGTAATGGCCCGTCCACTATGTATGGAGCCCGTCCACACTTTAATGAAATGTTTTTTAAATAATTTTTTTTTATTTGCGAAATAACATTAGCTTCTCCAATACGCTCTCCACAAACCAGCGCCCAAATTCTTCGTTGCGTCTGTTCTTGGCGTCTGCGTTGCATCTGCATTTCTCAGCCATTTCTTCCTGAACAACCGTTTTTTCCTCATTTTCCAGCTACCGCGACAAGAACGAAAGTATAAACTTTTCATCAAACATTTTTTCACGGTGAAAAGGGAGATAAAAAGATCAAACTTTGTCCAGATTAGAAAGATTTGTTGAGGTTGTTAACCGATTTTTATTAACTTATGTATTTATTTAGTTTTGTATTCTATTTTGGATTGAATAATGTTACAATAGAAAAAAACTGATAGAGAAAATTTGTTGGTGATTGTATGAATCAGATTCGTGAACGCGAACACTAGTATTGGTTTTGCATTAAATTACAGAATATGGAAGAGTCCAGTTTGCCTCATTTCAATGATGTTAGGTAAATTATGCTCGAAACCTTAACTTTTTCGTCACATGATTTTAAATTTATTGTGTATTGTTTATTTTGATATGTTGTATTAGTACATTTAATTTTATCTATATAAAACTATTAAATGATCAGAAAATGAACGTGATGAATTAGAAGATATGGGATATGCAGAGGAAGAAGTAGAACGTCATATTGGAATGGTGTTTGATTCAGTTGATAGTCTGGTGAAGTATTACAAACGGTATGATAACAAAATGGGATTTGAAGCAATGATACGTACGTCAGAAAAGGTGAAGATGGAGAGATGAGATATGTGACAGTGGCATCTTCTTGTTCTGGGAAGGAGAGATGTAAATCCAGAAATACCTTGAAAAAACAACTGTTGCCAAACAGATTGTAAGAGTCGGATTAGTGCACCTTTGAATGGTGAATGCAAATGGGAAAAAATCAGTTGTCTTAAACATAGCCCTGATCTTACAAGTCCGACAGATATTTCAAGGTTAACCGAAACGATACAACATATATAAAGACGACTTGAAGTTAATGATGTGGTTAGGATTTACCGTGTAAAAATTTTCAGTCATGTTCAGTTGAGGCAGGAGATGTAGGAATTTGACGTTTCTACAAAAAGATTGTAGGAACTACATTGAAAAAGTGAGAAAGCTACGACTTGGAGTTGGAGATGCTTCGGCAGTACTTGAGTATTAGGAAAATGCAAAAGGAGAATTCAAATTTCTTGTACATGATTGATGTAGATGAAGAGAATCGATTACAAAATGTGCTATGGGTTGATGCTAGATGTAGGATTGCATATAAAGAATTCGGTGATGTTATCACCTTCGACACAACGTATCTGACGAACAAGTATGACATGTCATTTGCTACTTTGTAGGGGTTGATCATCATGGACATTAGACGTTGTTAGGTTGTGGGTTGATTTTCATGAGGACACTGAGACATTTGTATGGCTATTTCGTTCCTGGCTTGAATGCATGGATGTTGCTCCTAATGGAATAATCACTGATCAAGATAAGACCATGCAAAATGCAATTGAGATGTTTTCCCTGGTACAAGACATAGGTAGTGTTGTGGCATATAATGAAGAAACTGCCTGAAAAGTTAAGAGGGTATAAGGAATATGAAACTATAAGTTTAAGTTGCAAAATGTTGTGTATGATTCCTTTACGCGTGAAGAGTTCGAAGAGCGGTGGAACCAATTTGTTGATGTGCACAACCTTCACGAGAATGCATGGTTATGTGGATGTACAAGAAATAGTACGATGGGTGCCTGCATTTCTTAAAGATACTTTCTAGACAGGTATGTTACTACCCAACGTAGTGACAGTATGCATGCATTTTTTGATGGGTATGTAAATTCCAAAAAACTTTGAAACAATTTGTGGAACAATATGATAATGCATTGCGAGCTAAAGTGGAAAAAGAAAGGGAGGCTGATTTTAGATCTTTCAAATCTTGGATACCATGCATAACTAATTACCCATTGAGAAACAATTTCAAAGTGCATACACAACTGCAAAGTTTAAAGAGTTCAAGAAGAGATTGCGGGGAAGATTTATTGTGAGTTATCTTTTCTGAAAAAATGTGATTCATACGAGGAGTATCAAGTTTTGGAAGATGTTTGATTTGGAGATAGTAGTGGCGTGTTCCGTATGCGGTATACTTTGAAGAAAGTTCGTGTGATATTCGTTGTACTAGTCATTTGTTGAGTTCAGGGGGATTTTATGCAGATATGTCATTATGGTGTTAATTCATAAAAGGGTTTCACACGTTCCGGAAAAGTATATTTTACGGCTTTGGAGGAAAAAGTGAACAGATGTCATACAAAAATTAAGGTAAGTTATAATAGGTCGAGCACCAACATTGAAGGACAACATTTTGATAAGTGTTTAATTTAATGCTGACAGTAGCAGATATGACATCAAACAGTGAGGGAGATTATAATATGATGACGGAGTATGATTGAGATGAGGAAAAAGTTTGAGCAAAAGGAAAGTGAGGGAGGGCTTGGTACAAAAGTGAACATCTCTTCCACAACCGGTTTGACTAGTCAGATGGGGATAGTCGTCCAAAGAGGGGACTAGTCTATTATTAGTCCAGAGGCAGCTCGTAGCAAAGGTCGTCCTCCATGTGAAGAAAGCAATCGAAGATTGAAGAAATTGTATATAGGGTTAAAAAGAAAAAATTACAAAAACAAAGAATTGGTATGACTTATTCATTATTGAGTATTTTGTTTTGAAACATTATTTATTATTTGAAGTTTAGAAAATATCAACTGATTATTAATGTGTTATGATACTTTTTAGGAAAATGATCATCGGTACAGCACAACAGGAACAATTTCTTTCATGTACTTCCTGGTCAATGCGGAAACTCAAGTGTTGTCGAATGATGTTGTACTACCCAGGTATGTGTTATGTATTTGTATAATTGTAATTGCCTTAAGTTTTCTATAATGTGTGCTAAATTATGGTTGTAAACAATGACAGATGTCCATGGTCCAGTTCCAATCTTGCAGGACAAGTAATTCATATTGGACAGGAGTATGTAAAGATGAACATGTCTCGTTGGGAGATGTTTGATATGTTGCCAAGTTGAAGCATATAGAATTGTATTTGGTAGAAATTTTCATGCTTTGGTTAATTCTACCGAATGCAGTTGAGTTGTTTGCTTATTTAGTTGTTTTATTTTAGTATTTTCGTCATTGGTTGTGTATGGTAGTGAATTCATGATAATGACGTTAATTTAACTTTTATGAATGTTTTTAGTAATATTATCATCACATTGCAGACTCCGGTTGTACATGGAATTTGGGTAGCATTCATTTGAGATTTGAATTTTTAGTCTTCAGTATGTCTAGTATTACATATACATATACATTGAAAAGAGTTGTTGAAATACGTATAAACAAAAGACAAATCTATTATAAACAAAAGACAAATTGATTTATAAACAAAATACAACTTTATTAACAACATCCGCTCAAATCAATCTATTTATAACAAAAGGCAAAAATTCCTGATCATGGTGCAGGGGGTGGAGGTTGACTGAAGGAGGAGGAGGCTATTGAGAATTCTTCATCATGCTGAAAATCTTTGTCATGCGTTCTCAATGATGTCAACTGTTTCTCAATTTTTGATGCAAACGTGTTGAAATCATTTTGCAATGATCATGTTGTTCTTGCATTTGCCTCTCAATACGTGAAAAACGCTCCTCTTGAAACTTTTCCATCCGCTCAAATCTGCTTTCTATTTCTATAAAGTATGAGAAGGCATATCTTCTACATTCTTAGATGACTAGGTTCAATACTCATTCTTCTTCTTCTGCGCACATGACATTGTCCTTTATTAACCCTTCGGAATACTGACACCTTCCTGAATCGTTGCATCTCCCTCCATTTCATCCCTAATCACAAACCATTGTCCTGCCATATTCTTTAATCAAACCCATTTTATTCAATGTCACATCCCCAACACATTATTTGTAGAAAAGTAATCTTTTGTTGCATCATCAGGGGTGGCTCAATATTCAACTTATCACATATTAACGTAACAAGCATCCCCCAATATATTTCTCCTTTTCTACTTGAATCTCTCCCAACTTCTTAATCAATAACTTCGCTAAATTAACTTCCTCCCTGCTATGCTACTCCATGAAACATAAATCCTTAACGTCACATTTTCATTGTCTCTTTCCTACCATTAAATGTGAAAGTCAGGTATCTGTGAAATGCTCTCATAGCAGGATTTTTAACTTTGTAGATTACACCATATGGATGGTAAGTCCTATCCCAGAAACATCAATCCAAGCTGTTTGGAATCCAGGTTCTAGATACGTTTTCCAAACCTTCCAAATCAAATCCTACCAGGTTGCTAAATCTTGTGATGTCACTACAAAGTTCTATTTTTAATCAAAAAACATTGTATACGCCGGAAACTCATCACTATCTATCTCTACAACTTCCAAACTACCAAAAATCATATATCAAATGCTTATATCCATCATATCTCATAATGACCAAACGCTCCTATTCAAATTATTAATCCAACCATTATTTCATCACTTAAACCTAACTGTTAGAAGTCCTAAATCCAAACTTCTTCTAAGATAAATATCTCTCTTTGATACGTCCTCGTATTGTTTTTATGTCGCAGTCTTGAAATTGAATACAGATGACGATGTCCCTTCAAGAGGAATGGTTGTATTTTTGCCCTCACCATTTTCTGCTTTCTTCAAAACCTGTATACATAAAAAAGTCGTCATCATAAACTGCCAAACCTAAACCACATACAAATATCGGCTTGTTAGAGATTTTCATAAGCATATAAAGTGAATCCAAAACAAACTTCATGATCACGGAAACAATTTTAGTGGAACACACATAGTTGCAATTTAAAAGAATAAACTAAGAGAGAAGATGACAAAATAACAGATATATGGAACCAAATAACAATTGACAGATGACATACACAAGTGAACAAAAAAATCGATTGAATCACAAGCTAAAAAGAATACTGAAATGGAAAATTCCCCTGAACATATGCAAAAATTGTCATGATACTTAAAAAAGGTGGAATGTAGTAAGTGTTAAAAGTAAATGAACAAATAATACAGATGAAAATATTTGACGGCAATTCAAATAGGAGAAAAAATATCACTAACTTCTATCATACAGATAGAGCAAAGGGGATGGTATGACTATAAGAAAGTCAGTAAAGAAAGCAATAAATTGGAGAGAAAAAAAAAACTGAGCAAATAAAATTTCAGAAAGACTAATCTGTCAAATGCTATTTAATATGAACCAAAATATTGTTACAATATAGCATCTGTTCAGAAGTTTTACAAGCTTTCTGTTCAACAAATCAAAAAACAGATACAAAGAAACACATTGGTTATTGGTTGAAACAATCTCAAAGGTACAAAAATTCCTTCTCCAAGTACCATTCTTAAATTCAGAAACCACTTAAGATTTTCTATGCTATTGAAAACAGTTTGGGAAACACATAAATCATTTCATATACTTCTCTAAAATACTAGGACCACGCTTTTAATGTGTTTTGTACTCATAACTTATTTCTCAATTATATAAAAGATACATTCTCAGATATTGAATAAACAAAATTCAGATTCCAATTTTTATTAATAGAAAAAAGTTGTTTCTAAAACTTGACTGAACAAAGCCTTCAGTTTCGCCACAGAGAGAAATGGGGATGTGTAGAATTTTAGGCAACAAAACCATAATAAAAAGAGATCCCCGTCATTAAAAACAATGGTTGAAAAAAGGTATTTGGGATGAAAAGACTAAGAGAACAAAATCATTTACCATTAAATTGAGTAAACACAACAATAAATCCTCATAGTCAAGATAATCATCACACAAATCCAATAACCAAAAAACTTTCTATAGATACAGTTTATTGCCTTAAAAACTTTAGTGGCACTCAACACAAGAAAATTTATTCTCCAAAATAAAATAATAATAAAATGAAAAAAAGAGAAAGAATAACCAAACAATGAAATTAATTCAATTTCACATTACACTACAACATTACGCTTTCTAGCCATGGCATCATTGTAGCTAAAGTATGAATTTACGTAGCTAAATGGTTTAGCTACAAATGCAATCTTTGTAGCTTATCGTAGCTAGAAGTGGCGTAGCTAAGATTTAGCCATGTAACTTTTTGCTTACGTAGCTAACAATTTATATTTTTTTGCTATAAATGAGATTAATAGTAACTAAAAACTTAAATGTTTTTGCCATAACAAATAAGCTTGTAGCAAAAACTTTGCCTTTATAGCCACGGAAAATAGTCTGTGTAGCTAGTTAGCATTTTAGCTACAAAAATAAAATTTATACCTAAATCTTGAAAATTTCTGCTACAAAAAATATATCCATAGCAAATATATTAACTTTTTGGCTACGTGACAGCTAAAATCGTAACTAAATAAAAATATCATTTGCCACATATATAGTGAATTATAGCTAAATTTTAATTTTTTTGCTACAAACATATGAAAGTCATATCTATATATGAAAAATATTACTATAGACATAGTGTTTTAATAGCTAAATATGAAATACTTGCTATGATATTTTCGATTTGTAGCTAATATTATAATTATTTGCTATGGACATATTGAAGTCATATCTATATGTGAAATTCAGTTGCTATGGACATAGTTTGTTCATAGCTAAATATTGAAATAACTTGCTATAAATACTTTTAATTTGTAGCTAAATATTATAATTATTTGCTATGGAACAATAATTTATATAAAAAATTTATAATTATTGCTTCAATTAAAATTAAATTGTACAAATATTACTATAATTAACAATTTAAAATAATTACAAATTATAGGAATTCTTTTATATTAAATAGATAATATGACGTCATACGAAAATTTCTAACATAAAAAGTTATACATTAGCAAAGTCATTTCCAACCAAATTGTTTACTCATAAAATCTTTCATCCTAGTCATTTAAATGTTATCAACTAATTTTCTTTTACAAAATATGAATCTTCAATGTCATAGCAATCTTTTCTGACCATTTAAGAATTTCCACCAACCTGCAATATCAATTTGAAAAAGAACTTAGAATCTTAGATAATCATATAGATTAATGTAACATTGCATATCACTTTATGAATGTAAAAAGCAAAATGGTTTTCATAGTATATATGCAATTTTCAAAATAACTTACAATTTCATCAAAAGAGATTTGGTTATTTATTGAAGATTGGACCTTGAGTGTTAAGCATCGTCATGAACTTCTCTTCCATCGTCTATTCATCTCCTCCATTGCTTTTTCACATTTCTAATTCTCTCTTGCTTCCCTCTTTGCCTCCTCCACCCTTTCATTTGCTTCCTTCCTAGTGTTTGTACTGTTTCATAAGTTGTGCTTTAGTTGGTCTACTTCCAAAATATTCGGTAATACTTTTTCCTGGACCATAAGCACGCAATAGCCATTCTTCTCTGGACCAAGGACCTTCAAATATTTCATCATCATTCAATAAGATTTGTCTTTCTACTTGTTGCTTTTTATTGATCAAACTGTGACTACAAAACAAATTATGGTATTAGCTTGGATGTGTGTGCGAATAAAAAATCAATAAGTAGTTAAAGAGAATACAAAGCTATTACAATAATGTCTTCTGTAATGGATTCAACTTGCTTATCTTTCTTTCTTTTGCGAGATTCTATCCAAACTTCAACACGAGAGGAGCATATCCATTTTTCGTTTGCTGTCATAATAAAAGTTATGAACATATTGATTAAAAATGATGAATGTGAATTATTAAACTTAATCGAATATTTGAAAGAAATTCATACCATTTGACGTCTGAGTCGAGCATAACTTTTAGTTCCTGTGTAAGGAGGCATAGACCGCTTTGATCTATTTGTCTTATTCTTGTTACTCCTTTCCTGTATAATGATAAAAAAACAATAATGTTATATCTTATAATTACATAGTAATTATGCTAAAATGTAACTTAAATAGCTATGCTTACTTGAAAGGTTGCCTCCTCCAATAATTAACCAATACTTCCAATCGTCCATATGAACAAGTTTGGGCTTGTTTTTCAAACGATTGGTAAGTTGGTTTCGAATCAAAATATTTTTCTTCATTTTGTATCTGTAATCCCTATATAAGGCATTCATGTGACCAAAAATGGCTTCTTTCCTTCCTTCTACTTCTTCAAATACAAACTTCTCCTGAAAAGCATATAAGATAAAAAAGTTTTAAATTCTACACTAATAATAACAAAATACAAAATTATAAATATTATTTTCTTATCCATCTTACCTTGATAATGGTCCACATATGGTCAATTTCATGTTCTTTAAGTTCTTTCCACTCCTTTATTTGTAAAGGACAACATGACTTATTCCGAACTGTTTGTCCTAAAAACCAAACAAAATCTGTTGAGTTTTATCAACAGCCTGATGATCCTCATCAAATTCATGGGCAATTTTTCTCCTTTTTCTAATGTAATGATTTTATGCAGCGCGTAGGACCTCTTGTTTTCCTTTTTTTCGTGTTTAGACCTAAAAATCATAGAATAATTATTAATTAGCAAATTAAGAACTGTATGACATTTAGAAAATGAAAAGCATGAAAGTAAAACGGAAAAAATTAAAATTAAACCTGATGTCCATGCCTAATTCCAACATTTGATGTGTGTTCCTCCAAAAATGTTGGTTGATTTCTCTCGAAACATTTCCAAGATTATGTTCTTCAGGATAGCAAGACACATATCATCCTTTTCTAAGAGAGTAAACATGTTAACATGCTTCCCTTAGTATTTCTGTAACTGCAAGCATGTTTCTCACGTCATCATCATCAACAATTTGGACTAGCCCATCAAGATCACTGAGGATACTCGTTGGCTTCAGGTAAAACAATTTGTCTCCGCGAAGTATATCAAAGTCACAGTTCTTCTTTATGTAATCCAACAAAGCAAAGTATGTGAGAAACTCAAACTCAAATCAAAATCATAGTACTCTCCACTCACTCTACCATTGACATATGTTCGTGTGGTGAAAAGACAAAATATCCTCCATAATGAAATCTTATTGTTCTCATTCCGGTATGCCCAGTCTTCCTTTATAAAAAAAGTAGATTCAAGTTAGATGAATATTAAATAAACTAACAAACAATATTAATAATGAGTGTACATGATAGACATAACAATGAATTGACTTGGTGATCAAGAAAATATTAAAAAAATAAATGACTAAATGATGTTTACCAATAGAATGAGTTGCTTTTTCTGGCTGTATACGAGAATGGTGATTAAGACATGACTTTTCAATGCTATTTGTAGTAGATTGCACCTTATTGAGTTGTGCTTCATGATGAGTTTTTTGTATATCTTGAGGATACTATCCGCAGGATCACTCTTTTTATCAGTGGGCTTAGTTTTTCTTTTGCCTTTAACTAAACCTCCACGCCTACTCATGTTGTTGGTATTCTAAAAAGTATTTTTACAATAAAATAATCATCAAATATAAATAAATAAATGAAGAAAAAAACTTATTGAGCTATGACATAAAACGGAAAATTTCCTTACACCGCAATGTCAATTAATCATTCATCCATTTTCCAAAATCTTAAGTTATGAATGAAGACAAACTGCACATAAAAAAGTAAAGGGGTCATGAAAAGAATACAGTGAATATATTTATGTAATGGTATTTTAAGCAGAGTGAGTGCCTCGGAGAATCTACTTAAGATTGGTTTCTGGTTAAGGTAATCATCACACAAATCCAATAACCAAAATAACTTTCTATAGATACAGTTTATTGCCTTAAAACTTTAGTGGCACTCACACAAGAAAATTTATTCTCCAAAATAATAATAATAATAAAATGAAAAAAGAGAAAGAATAACCAAACAATGAAATTAATCAATTCACATTAATTAAAAGAGCTTCTAGGGTATCTATATAATCTTATGTCATTACATGTGTGTCTACCATAATTTTTTTGAATCACCTACGGAAGATATAAATAAAGGCTTAAAAATGATCAGCTGACAGCAGGTGGTCATACACCAATCACACCACAAAAATAATGATCCTAGACCTTAAGAAATAACAAAAATAATAACATGTTTCAGTTGTCTGAACAAGAATTGAAAACATTACCGGCTGCCAATGTCATCAATAAAGAAAATTCACTTGGAAGGATGGCGTAGGATTATAAGTTTTATTATAGGATTTGATTCTCTTAGTATGTTTTATTTAACTTGTAACGTTAATAAACAATACTATCATGCTCGGAGCCTACATTGCGTTTAATAAATCCAGTAATATGACCACCATCAATCAATTCAAGTTTTATTTCCCTCTTCACTTGACCAACTATAAAAGAAGATACCAATAAAATCCCTGTCTATTTTTCTTTTGCAGGTGATCAATTCAAATGGCTAGAGAGAGACTTGGCAAATTTTGACAGATCTATAACTCCATGGTTGGTAGCTGCTTGGCATTCACTGGACAGTTCTTACATAGCTCATTACAGAGAAGCACAGTGTATGAGAGTGGAGATGGAAGAATTACTTTACTCATATGGTGTTGACATTGTTTTCAGTGGACATGTAAGTCAGGATAACTTAGAATAATGGAAATTTTAGGCAAAACATGTGAATGAAACTACTTCCGGTATATTTTTTAGCATTTAAGAAAGGCAATTTTCCGTTTGCACTGAACATCACCACAAAGGAAAATAAACATTGAAAGAGGGTTTGGATGCTACGGAGCATTGAATCAAACAATTAATCAATTGAAACATCCCTATACAACTTTATATTTAATTAACCCTTACATTGATATGGTAGAACACTTCTATTTATCAATCACACAAATCAGTCCCACCAAATTGACTAGATTTCAACTCAACTCCATTCAACATTCATCCAACCAAAAAAAAAAAATTGAAAAACGAAAGGGTCTAATTACCAATGGCAGATGAGGAAGATGAAGAACAAGCGTAGAAGAGGAACACGAAGAACAAGAGCGCGAAGACGAAGAACAACCAATAACGCAGATGGAAGACGAAGAAGATGGTAATGGCTGTGCGTTTTAATTTTAGAAACTTCCCCAAAAAATTTTAACCTAATACGTGAACCTTTTTTTTTTTTATTTTAATTACAGTAAAGGACGGTCGTCCGTAAGTGATGGACGCCCATCCTTTACATAAGGGACGACCGTCCAATACTTATGGACGGCCGTCCTTACATAATGGACGGGCGTCCATTCCTTACGGACGCCCGTTCAAAAGTAAGGGACGATCGTCCACAATTTATGGATGGCCGTCCAAATTTTTTCTTTAGTTTTTAAAAACCAAAATAATGGACAGGCGTCCATTTCTTACGAACGCCCGTCTAAAAGTAAAGGACGGCCGTCCACAATTCATAGACGGGTGTCCCCAAAGTTTTTTTTTTTAATTTTCATATTTTAGTTAAGGGTGGGCATCCCTTATTTGTGGGCGCCCGTCCAAAATAAATGGACAGCCGTCCATAACGGATGAACGGTTGTCCATAAATGTTTTTTAATTTGTTTTAAAAAGAATTGTTAATGGACGGGCGTCCATTAAAATATGAACGCCCGTCCAATATTTAGGGACAGCCATCCATAACCTATGAACGGCTGTCCCAAATTTTTATAAAAAAATTTTAATCCATTTTACTTATGGACGGGCGTCCTTTAAATGGGGACGCCCGTCCGTATTCCATGTAAGTGAACAGCCGTCCGTATTTGATGGACAACCGTTCACTAGAAAAATATTTATTGTTTAATAACACGTCTGGATTGTTGGCAACAACTGGTGTGAGTCAGGTGTGAGTCAGGGGTACACGTAAGCTGGTACACATTTTCGGTGCAAAAGTGTCGGTGTCCGTAGCTTTGTTGATTATTTTAATACTATGCATAGGATTAATATAGTCATTGTCTAATACAAAGGTTAAAAATCATTATTTAATGTGAATATTAGAAATTTCAGGACGTTCGATACTTAATAATTTCCACACATATACATACTAATATCAAAATCTAAAACGTTTGAAATATAACAAATTGATATTTATTTATTTGCCTATAGTTTTAATCAAATTTTAATTGATACTAATCTCTTAATAATAAAATGCTAGTATACTTTGTAATTTGAATATAAAATTTGCTGAATTTTTATTTTTATCAAGCATGAGAACTGAGAAGGCCTATATTATAAATTTTCAAAATGAGAACTGAGAAGGCCTATATTATAAATTTTCGCCTTAGGACTTTATTTTCCTTTAGACGGCCTTGAATTAATTTAAAGGTAAACTTCAATTAAAATGCAGAAGTACTCATTCAGTGAAGTTTCCCAAACTTCAGGGGTTTAATTGATTTTTCCCATTTAACAATGAAAACATAACAAATACACTAATGCCAAGGGTCTATGTTGTGTTGCGGAAGATCGATTTTGAACAAAGGCCGTTAATGGAGGTAGAATGAGTTGTTGCAGGAAGAAGAAAAGGTATAAGTAGGGATTTGGGTGGATGGGGGAGAAGACAAGTTTTAAAAAGTTTAAAAAATTAAATAGGCCCGCTGAGGTATGGTTGACTAAAATATCCCCAAAAAGTTTCTAAAATAACAAAAATCCCCTAACATTAATAACCATTAAAAAGCCTTTAGATTTTACACTATTACGAGTTAACAGATATTATCAAATTAATCTCTTCTTATTTATTTTAACACCTATAATTGAACTACAAAAGGATTTATGATATTTCGGAACCCTAAGGGGATATCTGTTGTTTTAACAAACATCAAGGGGATTAACACAAGTTTAAAAAGTGAGAAGCTTTGGTATAATTATATATGCTAAATAGATAAATTGCTTATATTAACATAATTTGATTTAAAACTTTAGATACTGATTGATATGAGAGATTTAAGAGACTCGGTTGTAGATAAATAATACAATTGTAGACGCACTGACGACAAGCAAAGAGAGTTTGCTTCCTACAATTCAAAAAATACATGACTAGAAGACTCAACTCAACTATTCTCCTGAGAAACAATAAAATCTACCATCTATGATTGGCAAAATATGTGATTAGAAGTTGCAAGAAGCAATTCCCATCACTGTTCTTTCCAAATTCTACCAGTCACTCTAAGCTTCAATTCTTTCCGGTCACCACCAGAGAAGAATAGAGCCATGTTTCTCTGGATAATGAGGCCATCGAAACTGTCACGCACCTTTCTGTGGCTGTCCCTTATGCTCCTAGGCACTCCTTGCCATATCATCTTCCTCCCATTACCACCAACTTCAAGACTGTAGCTGTAGTTTTTGGCCTCATTATCATCGCCCATAAACCGCAAGAATGCTATGTAGACAGGAGCCATACCAAGCTGGAAGGCTTCAAAATGCAGACAGAAGAACTGACCAAAGCAACTGAAAACCTAGAAGATGGAAAAAGAAATTCAGTCACATACGTGAAAAATTTAGAGAAATTTTTAAACTGTGAACTCAATCCTAGATAATACCTCATGTCTAATCATACAAAGAATAAAATTGCCACTCCATAACAAAGAATAAAAGCCTGGTAAAAGTCTAGTGAAAAGCCAGCGTTGCCCCTTTCAGATACCTCTTTTATTTATGGCTATTTCAATTCATCAAACTTCAACGGTGAAAGGTAATTTAAAAAATAGGAGGTCAGAATGACAAACAGAAGTCATATTTTTGCTGATAATCAACATAATAATGCCATTCTTAATAGGACCCAGTATTGATACAAACTGGATTTACATCCATCAACTAAGTACTTGCCATAGAAATTGAAAAAACAACGAAATATTTTCTGCCATGGAGAACCAATAACTACGACAAAGTGTATAAGATTAAGAAGTGCAATATACCGTTAACATCCATGTGGCATTCTCAACCTCATGTGGATTTGCTTTGACATAGCGATGGTTAAAAGTACTGCCATTGTGCATGTCAACTTTGTGATCATCTTTCAAATGAGAAACCAAATAAGGAATATCACCCATGACTGTACATTCTGATCCCGCATAAGGACAGTTATAAGGTCTAAAGACACACTGGGATTCATGTTTCAGCTTGCTGTAATATGGATATATGCCTATGCACCCATAATTCTGATATTTACATGGAAGCTCAAGAGATGCAGCCACCTTCTCTAGAGCAAGACACCTGATGTTGCCAAGTTCATGCCTGCAAGTGGGGCATCGATTGTGAACCCTGGGCTTACAACCAGAACACAACGTGTGCCCATTTGAACACTGCAACAACAAATAACACCAACATAGAGAAAACAAACATTTAGTTGTAGCTTAATGTTCTCTTGATCTAATATCTTAACACAGTAAAATGACCAAAATTGCCTAAAATAAAGCTTAATTCAGCAAACTGAAAGATTTCTTAAATATAAGGTTTATTTGAGGATGAAATCATGCAACTTCATAAAATATCTATTTCCTTCCTGGTTCACATCTCTATTTCACTACGATGCTTGACTTTAAAATACAACTTCTTATATTTTCCAAGGCATAATCAATTGAAAACAAAAAACTTATAAGGGACTTTTAGGAGAAGAATAATATTTGAAATGGAAATTGAAAATATTATTGGCAGGATGTGTTGGTGGTAGTCATTATTGCTGTAGTAACCAAATGCAAAAATGGCATGCTGGCCAGAATGTGTAGCAACAATAGGCAAATTACAAAGATACAACAAACAAAATGGGAGAATATAACATTGATAATGTAAGATAAAGTGTCCTATCAAAAAGAAAGGTAAGGTAACTAGTAATAATGCGATATTGCCTACAAAATATGATGAAAAGAGTTTTACTTAAAACAATGTTGACCCAAACCAATATTACCATTTACCAAACACTGAGCATTTTTAGGAGCTTCATAAAATAGGAAGGTCTTCAAACAAATGGAATTCATAAAAAAGTACTTCCAAAAATAAGAGATTGGTGTTAGANGTCCTATCAAAAAGAAAGGTAAGGTAACTAGTAATAATGCGATATTGCCTACAAAATATGATGAAAAGAGTTTTACTTAAAACAATGTTGACCCAAACCAATATTACCATTTACCAAACACTGAGCGTTTTTAGGAGCTTCATAAAATAGGAAGGTCTTCAAACAAATGGAATTCATAAAACAGTACTTCCAAAAATAAGAGATTGGTGTTAGATGTTTTGTTAAGCTAGGCAAAAGTTCATTTAGATTGATCCACCAACTTGAAAAATGTTTTGATGGGATAATATTAATAAGGTAGGTAACAATATCTTAACAAGAAATATCAGGTGAAAAACATTAATGCGATGATACCTAAATAATGTGACGACAAGTACTACATTAAAAAATATTAGCTCAAACCAATGTTAGAATTCACCAAACACCAAGCCAGTGTTAATAGATTGCTGATTACAAGTTCTATTAAATAATTCATCAAAGGTTCATTTACATTGATCCACCAATATAATAAAATATTTTGATGGGATATGCAAAAAATTGCTCCAGCACCAAAAACCAATTATAGTATTAACAATATTCAAGAAATTAATCATTAAAAAAATTGAAATTAACAAACCTGATGAATTGGAGGGTACATGGCATTTAAGCATACAGGACATTCTAAGAGCTCACGAACACTACTAGACACGGTCACATTAGGTTTAAGAGCAGTTTGAGTAGCATCATTCACAGAAGACTCGCTGATATCCATCATATCCTCACTTTGAGGAGGATCAATAATCTCAGGTTTGTTACGTAGATCATCATAAAACGGATTCCCAGATGCCATGCTTGTACAGCCAGTCTGTGAAAATTGCAATCTCCAGTTGTATAAAATCAAAATGCTAGAGAGAAATGATATAATCAGATTATGATGATAGTTATCCCCTTTGATAAAACTCAAAAATTAAACAAATAATACCCTGAGAAAAACTCCAATCACATCATCAAATCAAATTAACCATAGCCAAACTGTCAATATTGCAAACTAACTTTTGGAATCTCCATCAGCTACATAAAAGCATTTTTTTTTCTAATTTTCTTCTGCCTTGTTAGACATATCTCCTATTACTAGTCTCTGGGAATTAGATTTCAAAGTTCCAAAACATAATGAATGGCTAATCTCCCAGCTTCATAGGCTCGTAACTCGATTTAGCAAACCCCGACCATCTACTTGTATTACAAGGATAAAAATCTTTTTCTATTTTTCTGACAATGTATTCAACTTAAATTTATAAAATATAAACTAGAATCTTAAATGATATAAAGCTTTTTTTAATTTTAAACATTGGAATGTATGGATGACAAACCATTTTTCTTTCTAACTAGCTAATTTAAATGAATTAGAGCAGATAAAAAAAAAATGTACGTATTGTTTCTTTCCTGACTTTGGAATTGAAGGACTATCTATATATATAGATGTATATATTTCGAGAAAAAAGCATAGCTCAATTTAAATTTAACTGCTGACAGATGAAGAAAGAAAAACACTTAAACTGTATTCTTTAGCATTTGTTAGCTTGGTCTATTTCTTTCCTTAAATTGGTACAAAAAATCTAGTGCTGTTTCCAAAAACTATTTCTATAAACTTCACTTTGCTCATCTGGTTTCTTAACTTTTTTCCAGATGCTAAATGATATACAGCAGACATGCCCTAGCCCTACTAAGTATTTTATGTATCAGAAAAACCAACTAGCTCACAGCACTAATCCACTTATTTTTATCTGCAAGGAATCCTCACCATCAAATTTATTTTTTCCAGCAAGTCTTCTCGTTGTCTTCTTTGTATGTACAGAGGTCAAGTTTTGACTCCCAACCTAAAAAGGAATTCAAACAAAATCAGGCATATCTCAAGGTTGAACAGTCTGATCAATTCCTTGCTCACATTCATCAAATACAAACAAAACCAAGAACATTTAAAACTTCCACAGACATCTTATTATTACTATTATTTTCAGTCACATAGACAATATAGAACAGAGAAAAAAAAACTAGAAATCAATAAGCATGTTAAAAACCACAAACTTCATGACAATTTAAACAAAACAAGCACCAAAGACGTAAACATAAGTTTTTTCAAAGCCAATTAAGAGCAAAATAACAGTAGCAAATGCACTCTATCTTGAGAAATTTAAGTTAACCCATCTCTTCATCTTTATCACTAACACGGCGGTAATGAAAAAGAAACCTATATGTAGAATCACACATTTCTCTCAGAGACAAAAGAAATCTTTTGAATCATATAGTAAATATTAAATAAAAATTTCCGCATCATCAACTGAAGAAACTACCCCTTTCTCACATGTTTATCACTCAAAACACAAAAATACTCCTTCTCAGTTTTTCAACACTGCAAAAATTTTTTTTTTTTTTTTTTTTTTTTTAACTATTTCTAATCCATTTCCAATTTGACCTTAAACTTCAGCATACGGGCTCGTTGATCATTCAAGAAACCTAACTGGATCATCCAAAAACCAGAACAGTCACTTAAAATGGTTGAAAGTTTGCCAAAGTACAACATAAATAGTAAAGAAAACATATAATAAATAAAAAAGGATATTTAAGAATTTAAATTTAAAAAAACCCTAAAAACTAGAAGACCCAGATGGAAAATCAAAAGAATCTGCAGTAGATCTGGAATATTCCAAAAACAAACATAAAACCAAAGAGGGAACTTTCCCCGTACATCAGATACGAACAATTACAAAGAAAAAAGAACCCATATAGAAAACGAGGAGAAAGAAGAGATTTACCTTAAAAATGAAATGATTTGGAATCAAAACAGCAGGGTAGGAGAAACCCTAACTCAGGGAGAGGAGGAGGAAGAGGAGAGATTGGGTTCCCAGAGCGGGCGACTACAATTAATAACAAGAGCGCGTAAAAGGACAATGAAAGAGAATTTCAAATTAAAGCCGTTGAGAGAGAAATTTCTCGAGAAAATACAAAAAGGAAAGGTTTAGTACTTTAGTTCAAGTAAATGTGTGGACCCTCTCTTTATTTTATTTTATTTTTTAATATAAGGAAATTGTCAGGTTTTCAAATGTTTGGACTCTAGACAATGGTTGGGATTTTTGAATTTTGAATATTATTTCTAAAACTTTTAAATATAGTTATTTAAAAGTTTTATAAGTTTTCTTTATTTATATTTTATATTTTATAAGTTATATTTTATAAGTTTTCTTTATGTAAAAGATTATTTATATTTATATAATTACACTAATTTATTCAAAAAAACTTATTTTTTATTATGTTTTACATATTTATAAATATTTTTTTAAGAGCACTACTATTAGCCTCATATTTTATCTTTTTAACGAGGGATAAGTAGTTTCGAGTATCTTGTATTTTTCTAAGGATCGAAACCGGCCGGTTCCTAAGATTTAGAATCGAAACTGGATCGGTTCCAGTTTCAGGTACTCAGATTAATTTTAGTTACCCCTACTTTTAAAAAAAATTATAATACACTCCCAATAGTTTATAAAATTATAATTCAGGCCCGATTCCTACCTGGATATCCGAACCTCATTTCTGATTTTGATTCTTGATTCCAACACTACAAGAATCAGAACCCGACCTAGGAATTCCTGGTTCCAATTTTCCAAAATCGAAACCAGAACCTAAGGAGGCCAATTCCAGTTATACCCTTTACCCATGCTCACCCCTATCTTTAACCCCCATTATTATTAAAATTTTTAATGATAATCTTATCCCTTTTAAAATTATTTTATAATACATAAAAGAATTTTGTATATGTAAAAGTTTTATTTCCTATCTCTCAACCTTAAACCTTGATTCAACATATCCTAATTCTATTTTCAAACAATGAATTCAAAATTTATACAATTGAAAGAATTTGATCAACATCATGTATTCTCATGTTTGGTTAAGGTGAACAGACAAGTGAATATGAATCTTATTCTTTATCCATTGTTTGGTTTATAGGAGTTATATAAGAAATAGGAATCTTATTTCTTAAAAAAGCGTGAAATGGCATTGGTTCCAAATTTGGCACGAATGTTAGTAATGGTTGGCTAAAATGTATAAGAGCATCTCCAATTGTACGCTTTATTTTAAAGAGTATATTTCTTATAAATAAAGAATATCTTCATTAATTTTTAAATATAAAGAATACAATTTTTATTTAAATCCAATAGACTCTTTAAATTTAATGAAGATGTTCTTTATTTTCAAGAAAATGACTTAATGGGAGAGAGAAATAATAAATAAAATGCATAGAAAGTTGTAGTTTATTAATTAAAATTAGGATAGAGAGTAAAATTTGACTCTCTAGATGTGAAGAGCCAAATTCGCTCTTTAATTTATATTTTAAAGATAAAGAGTATGTTGGACTCTTGTTTTTATGGATAGACTCTTTATAATAAAGAGTTTAAGTCATATAAAGAGTCATTTGGAGATGCTCTAACTTACCCATTTTTTAAATTGTAATTTCCCATTTTACCCCTATTCAATTTATTTAGATCTAAATTATTTTATAATTCAATAATTATTTTATTAAAATATTTATTAATTAATTATTTAATAAATTTTAAGAAATAAAAAATTGGAAAATTTTTAAATCAATCAATGTCAATCAAATTTGTTGGACGGCGAATTTCCATCACATTGTTGGTGTCACCACCAATGTGTGAGAAATCATGGGCCAATGGTTTGCCTATCTGGGTAGATCGCAGCTATTGAAAATCATTGTCGTAATGTCACGTGCGGTGCCTTTCCATCATGGCCACCATTGTGACCTCACACTGAGGGTTTTCAATGGCTGGGATCTGCCTAGATAGGCAAAATTGTCAGCTAGCAACTCTTCACACACCGACGGTGATGCTGTAATGTGGGGCAAATTTGCCAGTTGACGAGTTTGACTAGTGTTAATCGGTTTGAAAAAATTTTAATTTTTAATTTTTGAAATTTTATATTTTATATTTAAACAAAAAACAAAAAATAAAAAATATATTTTATTGAATAGAATAATTAAGGGCATTTTAGTCCAAAAGCAACAAAGTGTTTTCCATTCATCAACATTTTGTACAACAAGCAAACTATTACGAAATCAAGCACAAACATAGATCCTAAAAACACAATCAACCAAAACAAGAACACCAAGAAAACACAAAGATTACCGTGGTTCACTTATCCTTTTATGGATAAGCTACATCCATGTTGAGCTCAAAAAAGGTATGAGCTTGCTGCACTTACTATTACCACAAAGAATCAAGATTACAACACTTCCAACAATCACCCAAAAAACCAGTACAATGTAAACTGCAATCAGCCTTACGAGATACCCAATGAGAATCCCTAACCTGAGAGAACAACACTCTCACCTGAATGATTAAGATCCCTAACCACTCAAACCTGATTACACAAACAATAGCAAGAACCTCACAACCCTAACTCAGAAATTGCACAAAAGAAAAACTCAACAATGTTCTATCGTTTCTGTGAAAAGTGAATTTATATATGGTTGACTAAGTGACTAATTTTGGTCGTTGGATCTAAAGTGTATCCTGCGGTCTGGATTCATTTGGTTGCTATCTAAAACGACGTCGTACTTCTTTACTCAAAATGACAATGTTTCAGGCTTACATTTTAACAATCTCCACCTTGGAAGCATTGGAAACAGTCTCTCTATGCAGCTTGCTCAATTTCATTCCGTCATAGCTCTTTATCACTCCAGACTACTTGACATACAGCAAGTTCAAGCAGTGATTGAACTTGGCCAGAGTGATTATCTTGGTGCCCATGTCTACTGGATTTTCTTCTGTAGGTACCTTCTTAAGTTCACTTATTCCATTTGCAACTTGATCCCTCACAAAATGATAGCGGACATCCACGTGTTTGGTTCTTTCGTGATACACTAGATTTCTGCTTAGATGGATCGCACTCTGGCTATCGGAATACACTGTCACCTTTCCATCAATTAGATTTGCCTCTGTCAGGATTCCTTTTAGCCATAAGGCTTCTTTAACTGCATCAGTTACTGTAATGTACTCTGATTCTGTTGAAGACAAGGCTACTATGGACTACAGTTGTGACTTCCAGCTTATAAAATTTCCACCCAGTGTAAAGAAATATGTTGTAGTTGATTTCCTGGTATCTTTATCTCCTGCAAAGTTAGCATCTACAAACCCAACTAGATCAAATGCAGTATTTCTTTTACAGTATTCAAGCCCAACACATACAGTACTGTTTATATATTTCAGCATCCATTTTAAAGTTGTCCAATGCTCCATACTAGGGTTAGACATGTATCTACTTAACATGGAAATGGCAAAGGCTAAGTCAGGTCTAGTACTAATCATGGCATACATCAGTGACCCCACAACATTAACATATGGGACAGACTCCATTCTCAACAATTCTGACTCAGTTTTGGGGCATTGGGACTTACTAAGTATAAACTGACTGGTTAAGGGCATTGAGACCAGTTTGGCACCAGCCATCCAAACTTTGTGACTAGTTTTAGTAAATAGGATTGTTGCTGCAGCCTAAGTTCACATCTCCTCCTATCCCTATTTATTTCCATGCCTAGAATTTTCTTGGCATTCCCTAGGTTTTTCATGCTGAATTCAGTATTTAACTCCTTCTTTAATTCACTAATCTAGGTTTTTGACTTCCTAATCAACAGCATATCATCAACATATAACAGTAAATAGTAAGTAAATAGGTAGATCATTATCCATTTTAAAGTAGAAGCAACTGTCATATTGACTTCTAATGAATCCTATACCTATTATAAAGGTGTCAAACCTTTTGTACCACTACCTAGGGGATTGTTTTAACCCATATAAAGACTTTTTAAGAGGGCATGCATGGTCTGGGAACTCAGGGTCAATAAACCCCATAGGCTGGCTCATATAGATTTTTTCCTCTAGGTTTCCATGAAGGAATGCAGTGGTGACATCCAACTGCTCTAGTTCCAGGTCTTGGTATGCAACTACTGACAACATCATCCTAATTGTTTTGTATTTTACCACAGGAGAGAAGACTTCATTGAAGTCTATCCCCTCCCTTTGGGTGTACCCCTTAGCCACAAGTCTGGCTTTATACTTAGGTGGGTCAGCTATGGAAATGCCATCTTTAAGTTTGAAAAGCCATTTACATTGGGTTAGCTTCTGGTTTCTTGGTTTTGGAACCAGTGACCATGTTTCATTTACCTTTAAAGATTGCATTTCCTCTTCCATAGCTATTCTCCATTTGTCCCTATCTCTAGATTACATGGCCTCTTGATATGTCTCAGGTTCAGACCTCAGCACCTCAGTACCTGCAAGAAGGGCAGTGTAAATTAGTTCTGCGTATGAGTATCTTGAGGGTGGTCTTACCTCTCTCCTTGTTCTGTCTCTGGCCAACTGATAATTTGTCAGTTCATGTTGTTCTGGTTCCAAGAACTCTTCAGTTTCTTCATCTGCATCTTGATAAGGTTCCTCAGGTGCTGTTTCAATTTCAAGTTGCTGGGGTGCTTGTGCTTGAGCTTGAGGTGGGTTTAATTGTTAGGTTGTGGGCTCTACCTCAATCTGAGTAGCACTGGTCTGACTAGTGGCTGTTTCTGTGCTTTTGGTGGTGCCTGCATCAGGGTTAGTTCCTTTGCATGGGAATACTCCCTCATTAAACATAGCATCCCTGCTTACTATGATCCTGACCCCTGGTGACTCTCTATCCCACAATTTGTACCCTTTTGTGCCCTTTGGATATCCAAGGAACACACACCTAGTGGATCTTAGTTCCAGTTTGCCCCCCCACTGTGTGTGCATAAGCTGTACAGCCAAATACTTTTAGGTGCCCTAGTTCTGGCCTTCTTCTAGACCATCTCTCTTCTGGACAGGTTAGACCTATGGCTATAGAGGGACTCATATTCACTAAATAGGCTGCTGTGGAGAGGGCCTCTCCCTAGAATGTTTTTGGGAGGTTTGATGTGATTAGTAAACA